AAAGTGGAATTTTTTTATGGCAATGGAGAGATTCATTAAAAGATAAAAATCATTTTCTTTAAGAATGGAGAAAAACAGACAACAAAATATTTGTTCCTGTTATCTTCTAATCTTGTTTTCTTTTACTTTTTGCTGTCTTTATATATATTTCATAACCATACTGTATATTAAAATGTTTTCTATTTTTAATTAAGTTTTTATATTTCTTCTGCCTGGTGTCCTGCTACCACCTCAGTTTCACTCTAAACTCATTTTCTTCTCTAAATCACTCTTTTTAGGAGTCTCTTTGACACTTTTAATGACAATAAGCAGAAAAGAAGTCTTACTTCCACCAGGTGAAGGCAACCAAAAAATATATGCAGTGAAGACAAAATTTTATTTTTGAAATCCTACAGGCACTGTTGCCTGTTAAGGGTACTGACCTGAAACTGGTTCTCTTTGTTAGAAAGAAGAGTAACAAAGGTGAGAGAAGTGTTAGAGATGGACTTGAAATATTGAGATCTGATATAACTAGAATCTGCAAGACAACAGACAAGGCACTAACTTAATATATGCATCAAAGCTTTTTTGAAGGGTTGTTTCTATGCTACCTATAGTCAACTTGCTCATTTCTCCATCTACCTTTGACCTTTAAACTTCTACCTAGGCTTCAAGTCAAATTTGTATGCTTCCATCTCCATAATGCCTTCTTTGAGTTCTTTAGGTTGGTGGTTTTTTAGGTGGGGCTGTGTTGTCCACCAGGGCACTTTTGCAATAACTAAAGAAATTTTTGGTCCTCTCACTTGGGGAGAGGGGATGCTACTGGCACCTAGTGGTAGAAACCTGGGCTACAGCTAAAGATCCTACAATTCTTAGGTCACCCTCCCACAATGGGTAATTACCTAACCTAAACTACTACTATCCAGTAGCGCCAAGGTTGAGAAACTCTACTTCTTTTCTGCAAAGAGTTTATATGCTAACAAAATAAATTAAGCATATACCCAAACAGTTAGAAAAGCATGACATACATTTCCCCCCCTTTGTTATGCTTTTCTGTTTGGGTATATGCTTAATTTATTTTGTTAGCGTGTAAACTCTTTGCAGAAAAGAAGCATATATATTTATCTTTTTCTTCTCAGTCTTGAACACTTAAAAAGGAATGATTAAGAGAAGCAAATGCATTATAGAACTTGTAGTAAAAAGCTATTTAGCAATTGTGTTATTTCACATTTTCAAAGAATCTATTAAATTTGAGGAATACTTTATTTCTAATTTTTGTTTAGTTACAATATCTCAAGCTTGAAAAATACCTTAAATGTAATCTAGTCCAACTGCTGGTTTTTTTTTTTGAACCAACAAACATCTTTTGATTTTCTAAATACTGAATTGAAATTCAATTGCAGTCATCCTCAGGTGCCAGACTGTGAAATTGGTATTTCCTCATTTAGACATTATCAGAATATATAGTGGTCCTCTGTGCATATATATATATATATATACTGTGTGTGTGAATTCATTAAGAATATTAATTTCAGAGGTCACTAGGTGATCTTTATAGTCCTTTTCAACTCTGATGATCAGTGATTTAAATGACTACCTTCCCTAACCTATTTACTTACTAAGTAAGGCAAAAAGAGATTGCACGATGTTTTCCTCTGCAAAATATTTGTTTTCTTAATTTCTCATTAGTCCAGAGGTGTTTACATCTTCTACAGCTAATAAATTGTTACCCATTAATTACTTAATATCAAAGACATATTTGATCTTTACTAAAGACTAATACATTCTAATTACAACTTCTCTGTTGAACTCTTGTAGGACTTTTTCTCTAATGTTATTAATGGTCCTTGCATTTTTCATAAAATATGTATGTTTCATGAAAATATATATTTTTCAATTGGATTATAAAGACCTTAAGGACAAAAACGGTTATATCTTTTAAAAAAATCTTGTCAAGTACCTAATACAAGTTGAATAACTCTAATTCAAAAATTGAAAACCTGAAATGCTACAAAACCCAAAACTTTTTTAGCACCAACATGATTCTCAAAAGAAATGCTTATTAGAGAATTTTGGATATAATGCTTATATTTTTAATAAGCATTAAAAATATTTAATAAGCATAATAAGAAAAATATTCCAAAATTCAAAAAAATTCAAAATCTGAAATACTTTTGTTTCCAAGCATTTCAGATAAGGGATATTCAACCTGTATAGTGTAAATCTCACACATAGAAGACATCTATTCTTTCAACGCTTGAACTGGTGTTCTCAGATAATTCAAAATTCAAAGGGAGTACTTTTTCTCATACATAAAATTCCACGGGTGTTTTTAAATAGCCTCACCAGATAAATATTAAGCTCAGTGGACATTTTAATTAATAAGTTGAAAGTTAAGATTCATGAGTATTATGTTAAGATAAAAGCACATGAAGACAAAATTGTAAAAGGTTGCCTTTTTAACTAAAAGGTACTGACATTTTATTAAGCAGAAACTGTATTACTATCAGCAGAAAATAGTAAGGAAAACATCATCACGTTACTGGCAAATTTGGAAAGAAAAATCTTTGTTACTTACAGTTGAATTAAAACATTGTTTATAAATTATGACTAAAAATTAATTTTACTGCTTTGAAATATAATTCAGAAAATGTAATTGCTAGACTCAGCTTTGTTTTAATTGCCTGTGTGGCTTCAGACAAATCATATAATCCTGCTGGATCTACTTTTTCATTTCAGAAATTTCCTTGAGTGGGACAATTTGTTTCTACTATTACTTCCAACTTTAACCTATATGTGTATGAAGATTTGTAGTTAAAACCTCTTTTCCATGTACTATCTCATCTATTCATTTTGACAGTTTGTAAGAAAAGTCTAGGAAACATTACTTTTTCTCTACTAGTAAAAAAACAGGCTCAGACAGTTAAGTTACTTTACAAAATCTGTTATGTGGTATCCTGGTGCTGTTTCCAAGATAACTCTCAAAAATCCTTTCTGTGAGACTAAGTATACATTAATCTTTAAAATGTTTTGTTTTTCTCCATTTCAAAATTGAACTTTAAAAGATTAGACCTTCAGTGACAAATATAAGCTTCATAATTTTAAAATGGTATAAATATTTACACCTCATGATTTGAGCCAGGGCTAGCTAAAGAGGAGTAGTACACATGACCACTTGTAGTGATTGATAGTAGTTGCCTGAAGTGCTGTGCTAAGAATAATATTTTGAGACTAACTCGAGGCTCTGTGGCAATGTGTGCCATGTTAGATTCACCATGTATACCATGGATGATGGAAAGAGGTGTGGTGACAGAAGTACTTATAGGGGAAAGAGCCTTTTAAAGAAATTGCTGGGCAGGCTTAGTGGCTCAGCCTGTAATCCCGCGCTTTGGAAGTCTGAGGTGAGTGGATTGCCTGAGCCTGCAGGTTCGAGACCCACCTGGGCAACTTGGTGAGACCTCATCTCTACAATAAATCAAAAAATTAGCTGGGTGTGGTAGCGCGCGATTGTACTTCCAACTACTTGGAAGGCTGAGGCGGAAGGATCGCCAGAGCCCAGCAGGTCGAAGTTGCAGTGGCCGGGAGTGGCCACTGCACTCCAGTCTGGGTGACAGAGTGAGACTCCAACTCAAAAAAAAAAAAAAAAAAAGAAATTGCTTTAAAATTCAATAGTGTTCTACAAAGGGTCTGATATTGATTTGCCGTATATCAATTTTGTAACTTGTGTTAACTTTTGTTAGTAGAAAAAAAAAGTTTTCTGGACTTTTCTTTATGAAACTGTCAAAATGAATAGCTTACTTTTGCCATGACTGTTTTTTCTTTTCTTTTTGTAAAATATATGTTTTTTATTTTAAAGTTGTGGGGTACAAGTCAGGATTGCATACATAAATGGTTTAGGTACAGGTGAAGTTTTGGGCCTCCCATTGGACCTCACTTCACCTGGATTAGGATCAGGCATCCTTACTGATGTTATGTGAACCCCCCCTTCCCCCGACTGTGTCCCATTACTGCCAATCCTTTTTTTTTTGTAGTATTATGATAGGTGTGACTGCTTTCTTATTTAAAAGAGTACCAAATTTGAGTGTCTTCATTTGTAACTATAAGCCATGAAAGATATAGAGGCTGCTTCTAGTTAGAATTTTAATAAGATACAGCTTGATCAGAAAAATTTGAGTGTAGTATATGTGTGTGTAAGCACACATATTGACATATTTATTATAGTGTATATTTATTATATTAACATGTAATGCTACAATATATATTAGTAGTATAAATCAATAATCTCTGGACTATTCAGTATTCTCCTATGCTCCAAGAGAGGGTGAAGATGTTGTGACTGCTCCATGCAGTCAGTGAAGCAGTAATGGGTACTTTACACTTTTTATTTTTATCTAAGCATTACAATGCTTTTTGAGATAGACTTATTTCCTTTTTCAGCAGTGAACAATTATACATTAGGAAAGTTTACTAACTGACCAAGAAGATATGGCAAAGAAAGTTGTGGAGCCAGAATTTAAATCGGTATTTATCAGGTTCCAAACTTATTTTTATTAGCAAAATCAGGCTATGTCTTGTGGAAATTTGAGGATGCAGATATTTCCCAGGTGATGATCTATATTCTACATATATTTGAGAACAACTTCTGAATTTTGATTTCATTGTCTTTATGTGTTGCACAGCTTTAGGGAAGAAAGTGAAGCACACAAAAAGTAGAATATTTTCTTCCAGTTTTTGCCAGTGTGATGTCAAGAAGTCATTTTTCTGTAGAGTGTAATGTTTCATCTAATAAACATTGCTCTGGGTTTAGAGGATTTATTTTAATTGAGACAAAAACTTTCCTGAAGAACTTTTATTGTTGGGGAAGTATATTATAAATGAATGTTATTCATGCACTTGAGTTTGGTTCAAAAAAAAAGAATATTGAAACGTGGCAAAATATATTATTTTAGCAGCAGAAGCATGTAATATGGCTATAACTTAAGCCATGAAGGTAATTGAGAATGTCATTTTCTTTTTTCCAGATTCCTTGGTGTTACTCAGTTTTCGCCTACACATGCCAGAAAGGCATTTCCTTGTTTTGATGAACCAATCTACAAGGCTACTTTCAAAATCAGCATCAAGCATCAAGCAACCTATTTATCTTTATCTAATATGCCAGTGGAAACTTCTGTGTTTGAGGAAGATGGATGGGTTACGGATCACTTTTCACAGACCCCTCTCATGTCCACATATTATTTAGCCTGGGCAATTTGCAACTTCACATACAGAGAAACTACCACCAAGAGTGGGGTTGTAGTAAGTATTTTAAGCTTAATAATGTTTTTAGATAATATCTATTCTGTAAAGTACCCTGATTTCTGGATTAACAATGAATCATTTCTGACCTTTTCACATCGTATATAGCTGAGTTCTTTTTTTAATTCTTGGGGGGAGCAAAGTATCTTTCAGGTTTTCAAGTGTTGGAGAGGAACCACTTTTCTATACCCAGCACTCTTATTCCTTTAACCCCCTCCATCTCCTGCCTTCATTATCCTTGCCCCTCCTCATTTCCATCTCAACTCCTCGATATCTCTAGAACAGCTGTTGTCTGCTTTGAGGAATTGCCTGTTTGTATTTGTGTGACTGAGAAAGCAGCTTCTTTTTATTGTGAAATATTTTGAATGTACAGATGTGATGAATAATACAGCAAATTCCATATACCTAATAGCCAGATCTATAGAACTAAACATTTCACCATTTTTTGTTTCAGTCTAGTTTTATTGTTGAGAAAATGAAACATTGGAGAGAGTTGAAACCCTTTGTGTAACCCTCTCTGATTTCATAGCCTTGCTTTCTTCAAAGATTACTACTGTCCTGAATCTGGTGTTGGCTATTTCTGTGTGTATTTATCATATAATTATTAAGTATATATAATTATTGAGTATCATATAATTATTAAGTATAATAATGCATGCTTTACAGTGTCATGTAGTTGATTTTATATTATACATAACATTCTGCAACTTATTTTTATTTCATTTTATTTTCTTAGGGAGGATGAGCTAGAGGGAGCATTGTCTGCATTAAATTTGTAGTAAGACCTGTTAGGGACAGGGTGAGGGTGAATGGATAGGGGAGGAGAGGCGAGGGAGATGCAGCACCGTCGGAGCCGGCAAACCAGAGGTGCATGCTGGCAACCCAGAGATCTGAGTAAATGCAAAGAATTGCAACACACAGAGGTGAAAGAAGATAAGATTTTTTAAAGAAAGCTTCACCCCCCACAGACAGGGAGTGGGCCTACACCCTAGGTGAGTGTGGTGTTGTAGCCCCCGCAAAGTCCTGGCTTAAATCCCTTCCTTGGAGATGTTGCATGTGACTGCTGTGATTTTCTTATGGACTACCTGTGGATGTCTTGGAGATCCTGTGACACAGAGACCCATTAATGTCTGTCCATATTATCATAGCTCCTAGAGAAGGGTGTGACAATGATTCTAATTCTCCTGTACCTTCCTGAGTGACATTCCTTAGAGCTAATGGAGGGTGCACCTACCCTTATCTCCTAGGCATTCCCAGTGGGTAGCTTCAGGGGATCTTGACTTCACTGTAGATAGTGCCCAATCTACTGGAAGATTGAATCCTCACCTGCTCTCCCTCTGAGTGGTGATAACTTTTGTAATTACAAGTTTCATGACTTTTACAATCCTTGCCCAATGCATGATGTCTTAGGCCTTGTAAATTCCCTTTACTCTAGGCAAGCTTGATTGCCACTATGAGATATCTCTGATACTTGGTACCAGGAAGTCTGTTTCTGAAAAGACAAAGTCGGTAAAGTTAATTTTACCTAAAGTGTGCATTTCTCTAAAAAAATGGCTTCTACTTTCTCATCATTGTGTCAGAGTTTAAGAATAAGATAAAAAATGTCTTCCCATTCTCAGTCTGTCCTTTCAAGACCCAGATGGATTATCTTTGATTACTGTCTTTTGTGATACCATGGTATTCTAGACGCTTTTCCTGTGCAGTTGCATTACATTAGGCTAGACTATGCCATGTTGAATTAATGATTTCATCTTCATTTCAATGGCTTACATGGTATATATGCATTTATTTTAATTCCAAAATTAATCTTAAGAAAAGGTATTGCAATTTTACTTTTTCTAAATGAATAAAGTAAATTCAGGTTTAAAGAGGGTAAATAACTTGCCTAGTGTCAAAAACCAAGCAAATGGTAGAGTCATAAGTTAAACTTCTGTTCGTTTGAACCCAAATTTTGGACTTTCCCCTTGTTTCCTAGGAACTCTAAGTTTCATCATTTCTCCTGTGTATCTATAAGAAAATTCAGGTTGTGAGTCTCCCCATTCAATGACTATCATATTCAGTATTGCTTGATTGTAACAAAATAGGTAATTAGAAATCTCTATTTTTAATCTGCAGGAAGTTTATGGCTCTATAATAAACTAAATTTTGAAAAATTGTTTTAGCTAAATAAAATTTTCCTCACGGTCACTTTTAATTTAAATTATTGTGGAACCTGTTTAAAAATAAAATCTGCCAGCATACAAAATAAATGCCATTATGGAACTGCATATGGTGAATTCATCTCTATAACCATTAAGATTATGTACTAAATATGGACTATAGGAGGCTAGCAGGCATTTTACTCTTTTGGACTTATAATCATTTGATATGTTGAATTCCTCTGATGTTTGTTGATTTCTTCTATGGGCATCTCAAGGCTGTATTCATTGGACCATGCACAGAAAAGGAACATGAAGACATCTCATTTCCTTTTACGTCTTCAAACGTTGATGATTGACTTGCTGTGGGTCAGCTAGCATAGGGTACACTGGAAATGCTTTTTTTTTTAGTATTTTTAAAAAGTATCTTAAAAGTGTTCTCAACCCTACACAATTAGGCTTGTTGCTAAGTGACCCATGTTTAAAGTCAAACACACTTTAGTTATTAGATGTGACTTTTATTAGAGTTAATCTCTAAGTAATTAGAAAACATTTTAAAGTTCCTATTTAATAATTTTTATATGGAAAAGATAAAAAATGTTACCAGAGAACGCAAAGGTCGACTGAAATAAAATTTTAGATTGTATAATATAAAAATACTAAAATCAGTCAAAAAGGAAAACAAAATTGCCATTGGAAAGCTTATTGATCAACTGTGGAAATATAGTTCAAGCTTGACTCTTTTTTTCTGTCACCCTTTGAAATCCAATCTATTTTCTTTCCACTGCCTTTCCCCTTTATTACTGGGAACATATGGGATTGACATTTCTCAACACTTAACAGCTGGAAGTAGAAGAAATTTAGCTTTAGAATCTTGGATGTGAGATGGTCATGTGAAGTCCAGGTGGTCGTTTCAAATCATAAGCCAAAGCAATATTCTTTTGAGATGTGAGAGAATATTTTGAGTAGCATGTTAATAATACACAGCTGAATTGTAGCAGTGCCCCAAGTGCAAATATTTGAGATTTGATGATCACCATTATAATTGCTTATCAAGCTATCTATTCTGAGAAATTAGAAAGATTAAGAAATCTAAGATTCCTTTAGTGCAGAGGCTGAAGATACAGCCCTCAGGTTAAATCCAAGGCTGCAGATGTGTTTTGTTTACCCATCCCTAAAATAGTTTGATATTTTAAAAATTAGTTGTCAACATTTAGAAATTGGGAGATAGCATATAAAATTATTTATTTCTGGCATCAAAGCAGCATACAAAGCAGAAAAAGTTCCTCATCTCGAAACACCTACATTCTAATGAGATGAGAGACAATAAACAAATATATGTCAGTTGGTGATATATGCTGTGAAGAAAATCAATGTGCTAGAGCTGAGTGGTGACGACTCATTTACATGGGGCATCTGCTTCCCAAGTAACTTAATCCAGATCACTTTTATTCTTTTGTACCTAGTTCATTTATGTATATTACCTGCTTTGATACTAGAGACATTTGAATTTTGAATGAAAAAGCAATAAATTCACTAATTGTGAATTAGTAATGGTAGTATCCAAGAGTTTTCATTTGAAAGTTGTAGAAAATAACTTTAAGACAAGTTAGAAGACCCCAAAAGCAAAAACCGTGAAAACTAAGATAGACAAGATAGATCTCATCTAACTGAAAAACTTTTGCACAACAAAAGAAACCATTAGGAGAGTAAAGAGATAACCCACAGAATGGGAAAAATATTGGTAAATTATGCATCTGACAAAGGCCTAACATCCAGAATCTACAAGGAACTCAACAAAGTGAAAGGAAAAAACAAACAACCCCATTAAAAAGTAGGCAAAGGACATGAACAGACACTTCTCAAAAGAAGACATACAAGCAGCCAACAGACTCATGAAAAAATGCTCAGCTTTATTAATTATCAGAGAAATGCAAATCAAAACTACAATGAGATACCACCTAACCCTGGTAAGGATGGCTACCATTAAGTAGTCAAAAAACAACATACTGGCATGGGTGTGGTGAAAAGGGAACACTTCTGCACTGTTGTTGGGAGTACATACTAGTTTAATCTCTATGGAGGGCAGTGTAGTGATTCCCAAAAGAACTAAAAATTTACCTTTCATATCCAGCAATCCCTCTCCTGGGAATATACCCAGAGGAACATACATCATTCTATCAAAAAGATACCTGCACACACGTTTATTGCCACATTATTCATAATAGCAAAAACATGAAACTAATCCTTTTGCCCATCAAAAGTGAACTGGTACATATACACAATGGAGTATTATGCAGCCATAAAGAAGAATAAAATTATGGACTCTGCAGCAAATTGAATGGAGTTGAAGACTATCATGCTAGGTGATCTATCATAGAAGCAAGACTGAATACTGTATGTTCTCACTTGTAAGTGGACCCTAAATAATAGTCACGTGAACACAAGGGAGAGATGGGCAATCACAGGACACTGTTAGGGGAGGGAAGGAGGGAGGAGGATAGGAAGCCTGTAATATCACAAAGGGTACCAGATTCACTACCAGGGAAAGGAGAGCCAGTTAGAAGCCCAAATTTCACCTGCATGCAGCCTACCTATGTAGTTAATCTTCACTTGTACCCCATATTTCTATAATAAAATTGTAAAAAGTGAAAGCATCATTATGCTGACTTTTGACTAAATTTGTAAAATAAACCTTAAGAATTGAAAAAAAAAAGATTAGTTAGAAGAAATAAATTGCTAAGGGTTGGAATCTAGGAATGTGCTTCATGGAGAAGATAAGATTTATTATGGCCCTGAATGACAGTTTGGTCTTAGAGAATCAGATAATGTGTGCATATAATTCTTAGCTAGAGAAACGTT